CCCAGCTGAGGGACGTCTGGGCAAGGAAGCTGAGGGCCCTGACCAGGAATGCCAGGCCTAGAGCTGAGCGCGGCTGGGTGCTAACGCTTTCCCTGCCCCTGGTTCTCAACCCCCCAGCCCTGCAGCTCCCGCTCGCCAATGATGGGGGCAGCCGCTCGCCGTCCTCAGAGAGCTCCCCTCAGCACCCCACGCCCCCCGCCCGGCCCCGCCACATGCTGGGGCTCCCATCAGCCTTGTTCACACCCCGAAGCATGGAGAGGTGAGCTGTGGAGGGGATCCAGTGCCTGAAGGGAGGGAGAATGGTCGCATCTAGGGGCCCCTGGTGTGTGTGGGGTTGGGGATCCCTCATGTTGGCCAGAATCCCCTCCGCCAGCCCCTGCTCTGTCTCCCAGCATCGAGATTGACCAGAAGCTACAGGAGATCATGAAGCAGACTGGCTACTTGACCATCGGGGGCCAGGTATCCCCCTTCACCTTGCTGGGCAAGGGCTGGAAACAGTTGGGTTGTGGGAGCTCTGGCGGGGGGGGGGATCCCTGAGGATGTTCCCACCCTCACATCCTACTGTCCACCCCAGCGCTACCAGGCAGAAATCAATGACTTGGAGAACCTGGGTGAGATGGGCAGCGGCACCTGCGGCCAGGTGTGGAAGATGCGCTTCCGGAAGACAGGCCACATCATTGCTGTCAAGGTGAGCCCTGCGGGCCCCCCCTCCTTCCAGGCCAGCCCCCACCCGTGTGGCCCAGCACTGAGGCCCTCCTGGCTGTCTCTCCTTGCAGCAAATGCGTCGCTCGGGGAACAAGGAGGAAAACAAGCGCATCCTCATGGACCTGGATGTGGTGCTCAAGAGCCATGACTGCCCCTACATCGTGCAGTGCTTTGGCACTTTCATCACCAATGTAAGCCGCCCGTGCCCCAGAGACTCAGCAGGACAAGGGTGGGCGCCTGGCACAGCTGCCCCAGCCCCACACATGCCCCCTCTTCTGCAGACGGACGTCTTCATTGCCATGGAGCTCATGGGCACGTGTGCAGAGAAGCTGAAGAAGCGAATGCAGGGCCCCATCCCCGAGCGAATCCTGGGCAAGATGACCGTGGCGGTGAGCGGCGGGTCTGGGGTCCTGCGGCCAGGTGGGCAGCCCTAGGGCCTGGCCCAGGTCACAGGCACCCCCCCCCCTTGTGTGTGCCCCGCAGATTGTGAAGGCGCTGTACTATCTGAAGGAGAAGCATGGCGTCATCCACCGTGATGTGAAGCCCTCCAACATCCTGCTGGACGAGCGGGGCCAGATCAAGCTGTGTGACTTCGGCATCAGCGGCCGCCTCGTTGACTCCAAGGCCAAGACGAGGAGCGCCGGCTGCGCTGCCTACATGGCAGTGAGTAGGGCCCAGCAGGGCTGGCTGGGGGGCTGGCCCTTCCCTCGGGGTACATCCGTCTCTTCTCCTGCCCTGTAGCCTGAGCGCATCGACCCCCCAGACCCCACCAAGCCTGACTATGACATCCGAGCCGACGTGTGGAGCCTGGGCATCTCGTTGGTGAGTTGGGGTCCTGCCTCTTTCCATGGCCTTCTAGGGGTGCAGAGAGGGAATGAGGAGGCAGGGCGGGGCTCCTCCCCTGCCACTGCAGCCCTGCCTGTCCCCCTCCCCCTTTTCCCCAGGTGGAGCTTGCCACAGGACAGTTCCCCTATAAGAACTGCAAGACGGACTTTGAGGTCCTCACCAAAGTCCTCCAGGAAGAGCCCCCGCTCCTGCCTGGCCACATGGGCTTTTCGGGGGACTTCCAGTCCTTCGTCAAAGACTGGTGAGCACTGACCTTCCACTGTGGAAGGCCCTGCGGGCTTGTGGGGGTTCTGGGCACGAGAGGGAGGGCGCTGCCCTGGGACCAAGTGGGGGTGGCTGTGGTCAGGCTCATGGCCAGGAGTGATTGCTGGAGTTGGTGTTCTGGGAGCTGTGGCCTGGTTTGGAACAGGCCCGGGAGCAGCTGGCCCTGTGGGTATCTGGCCCCCCTGTGGGAAGGGGGTGTAGGACACGTACATGCACTCACATCTTTGAGGGAGCCCCACTTACCCCAGTTCCAGCTCCCCAGGCCCTCTCCACACCACCCTGGGCCAGGCATCCTTGGGACACACAACTTGGCAGGGCCCAGCAGCATGCAGGGGGCTGAGGACATCGACAGCTGCCTCCCAATCACGGGGAAGACACTGGGAGCCCCGCTCTCACTGCCGCCCTCTCTGCTCTCCCTCCTCTCCCTCAGCCTTACTAAAGATCACAGGAAGAGACCAAAGTATAATAAGCTACTTGTGAGTACTCGCCCCTCTCCCCAGCCCCCCTCGAAGCCTCTGGGCCTGAGCACCAGGCCAGGAGGGAAGACCCCTCGTTCCTGAGCCCCTTTTCGGCCCACAGGAACACAGCTTCATCAAGCGCTATGAGATGCTCGAGGTAGACGTGGCGTCCTGGTTCAAGGACGCCATGGCGAAGACTGAGTCGCCGCGGACTAGTGGCGTCCTGAGCCAGCACCACCTGCCCTTATTCAGGTAGCCATGTGGTGGCGGCCAGCCCTGCGAGGGCCCAGGGGCATGGCCACCAGCCCCCTTCCCACCTGGCCACCCAGCTGCCCACCAGGGGAGACCTGGGACCTGGACAGCTGCCGAGGGCTGAGGACAGAAAGTAGGGGGCGCCCATCTACCCCTGACTCCCTGCCCACCAGCCCGGGGTCAGCCGGCCTTGTGCGTCCCCCCTACAGACACTGTGAACGGAAGGCGGCAGGCCGAGAGCAGACTCACTATTTATTCATTTGTAACCTCTGGGCTGGGGCGGCCCCCAGGGGCCGGGAGAGAGCCCCCTTGCCCACCCCGCGCTCCTGGCATCTGTCCATGCACACGCTTGCTCTCCATCTCCTTCTGTCCTCTCCCTCACTGCCTCTCTGTCTCTGTCTGGTGTTCCCTAGCTCCCTGGTTGCCCACACCTGGGCACTGACACCCGTGGCCCAGTCCACCAAGGCCTCCTGCAGTCCTTGCCCCCAGAGGGCCGTGGGGGCATTGTGACTGTATATGGACTGGGATTGGCTGGTGTGGTCCTCTCCCTTTCCCCCGCCCCTCTCCCTCTCTTCCTTCCCCCCCTTCATATCTCTCTTTCTCTCTCTCTCTCTTTTGATCTCAGGGGGTCCTTTTTGGAGTTTATTGTATTTTATTGTACTTGGTGGGGTGTTGGGGGGAGGGGGAGGCGAGCTTGTCCTCAAGGGGTGTCGGTACCTTCAGAAACTTTTACCAAAGTCATGTTTAGCTGCTTGCTGTGAGGCCCCCTGACTGCCTGCCCTTGGCTGCTGGGGTCTTGGGGCGGGGGTGGGGCGAGCTGAAGGGCTGGGGGCTCCTCCCCAGAGGCTGGACACTGGCCACAGCCAAAAGGTGAGTTGAAAGAGCTCAGGTGGCACCAGGGGAGCACAGAGGCCACGGCCACGACAGGATGGCCTTCAGGGAAGCTGACGAGGGGTGCAGTCAGAAAGCTGGTGACAGGAGTGGGTAGGGGGGCCCCCCAAGAGCAGGGGGCCCCTGGAGGGAATCAGGGACTGAGGGTGAAGAGAGTGGGTGTGAAGGCTGGAGGATGTATGAGAGGGATTGGGGGGGCAGGCTTGAGTGCAGAGGGAGGCCGTGGGGAAGGGAGAGTGGGGTGACTACCCCACCACGCCCCTGAGCAGCCCTCAGCTCGCCCGGAGCTGGCCAGCCCCAGCCCACCTTGAGGCCTGGGATGGGGAAAAGCCTGGCATCCACCCGGGACCCCGGCGCCCACCACGGTGGCCAAGGGCAGGATGGGGAGTGTTTTCCTTTTTGTTGGTGATGCATGCAAATCACAGTGAACAAGAGAACAAAAAAAAATAAAAAATTATATATATACATATATATGTGTGTGTGTGTATATATATGTATATACACATATATACATATATATACACACACACACATATATATATCTCCACAAAATGCAACGCCAAAGGTGAGCGAGCTGGCTGGCTAGTGAGGTGGAGCCAGCTCAGCCAGCATGGCGGCCCGTGCCTCTCTATTAATTTATATTCACACCACGGAATGCCGCATGCTTAAACCAGAATAGATGCCTCCTCCCTCCCCCCAGGGGGGACAGCCACCTTCTTGTGTCCCTTGCCCCCTTTGTGGGGGGGTGGAGGGGGGGCTAACAGACCTGGACCCCATACCCTCTCACTGAGGCCAGCCCCAGTGTAGGCAGCTTGGAAGGTCGCTTGGCTGGACCTAGGGCCAGCACAGGTGTGAGACTACGCTGCCTGTGTTTTGTTTTATTTTTAAATTTTTATTTAACTTTATTTTCTGTTTTGTGAGCGTGTGTCTACCCCGCCCCTCCCTTCAGTGTTACACAGGAGCCCTAGGGGAGTCTCCTACCGCCCCCTCCTCTCCCAAGATGGCCCCTCCGTCACCAGCCCACCCTCTGGACCTGGCAGAGGGGTGGACAGGGTCGGTCAGGGCCTGGATGGCCTGGTCTTGGTCCAGCCTGCTGGCCCACGGACTCCTCAGGCCACTAGTGTTGCCCTGTCCCTTTTTAAAATAAAATGCCCTTGTTTGTAAGCCCTTAGATGCTTGAGAATAAAGCCCCTCCCTTTTCTTCTGAGTCTGTGCTGTGTCCCTAGCCCACCACCACCTGGTGCGCAGAGTGAGAGTTGGGGGGGGGGCCCTCTGGGCCACCATTCTGATGAATGAGAATTCAGCTTTGAGGGGAATGGGCAGGGCTGGGTAGGTAAGGGGTGTGCAGAGTGGCTTGCCTGACACCTGGCAGCTTGTGTGAGGGACCCCTAGTCCCCAGTCATCCCAGGCAGAGCAGGAGAGGAGCCCTTAATCCCTGCAGGCCTTGGGCTCCAGCTCAGATGTCAGCCCCTCCGTCCTCCACCCCCGCTTCCCGGGGCTTCCGCCCTGCCAAGGCCAGGGCTCCTGCCCACCTTCAGCCAGAGGTGTGTGTGCAGCCCAGAGGGTTGCCTCCACCAGTCCAGCATGCTTGGCAGCATGCTCCTGTTGCTGGCCCTGCTCCCAGCAGCCATCTCCCTCCCCAGTGGGCCACTTGGTATGTAGAGGCTGGAGATCCCTGGGCTGCTGCTGCCTCCCTTCCCCACTTTCCCATCAGGCTGGAGGGCGGGGCGGTTACCGCAGCCCCCATACCAGCTCCCCCAGGTGAGGACAAGAGCTGTGGGGTTGGGGCCAGCAGACTTGAGATCGTATGTGACAAGTTAGCTCATCGCAGTGCGTTTAAAGGCTGGGGCCCTTGGAATGGGAGACCCGGCCCCCTGCTGCGGGGGCAGACACCCTCCTGCCCTGAGTTTGCGAATGACAGTCCAGCCTCCCTTCAGAAAGGAGGCTGCAGAGGCCCTTCTAAGGCTGGGTCAAGCTTCCGTCTCCCTTCTCCATTCGCCGCCATGGGGAGGGGAGGAAGGGTCCTCTCCACCACGCCTGGCCTCCGCTGCTAAGGCCCCGGGTTGCCTGGGGCGCAGGGCCGTCACTCCCACAGCCCAGGTCAAGGGGGTGGGGTCGGGGCTCTGCTGCAGGCCCTCCCTCCACGGTGCCACCTCCCCTGCTAGCGCCCCCGTTCCCGGGGGTTACCCAGCCTTGGATGCGTGGCCCCCTGTTCAGTCTGGAGCTGTCTGACTCAGAGGACACCTTCCCAAGACGCGCAGGGCCGCTCGAGGTCCCGGCCGGCAGCCGTGTGTTCGTGCAGGTGCGGGGCACGGGGGGGGGGGGGCGGGGGAATTGGAGAGGAGAGGGGGGGGGGCTGGGGCCAGTGGGGACAAGTTGACTCTGATGGTGCCACCGTCTCCCCCAGGCAGCCCTGGCTCGGCCTTCGCTGCGATGGGGCCTGGCCCTGCACCGCTGCTCCATGACTCCGTCCTCGCACCCAGCCCGGGAGCCCGCCCTGCCGCTACTGCGTGGGGGCTGCGCGGCCGACCCCTCAGTCGCTTTCCCGTCACCGCCGTCCCCCGACGCCTCCCGGCCCCCGGCACGCTTCAGCTTCCGCCTGCATCCGGTCTTCAACGCTTCCATCCAGTTCCTGCACTGCCAGCTGAGCCGCTGCCGCCGCCTCCGGGATGCCCGCCGGATGCCCGCGCCGCGCACCCCGCCACCACCGCCGCCAGCGCCATCGCGGGTGCGCGCTCTAGCGGGGCGCCGGGGCGCAGGGACGCCCCACCGGCCGGCCACCGGCGGCTCCGAAGGGCTTTGCGATGGAGAGATCCCCGGAGGCTGACGGTTCATACAGGGTCCCTCCTTGGACACCAAGACCCCCCCCCCCCACAGAGGCCCCTGCGGCTCTGTGCCAAGCTTCCCTAGTGGACAGAAAGTGGACGCTAGATTCCCTAGTGCTCCTGGCTGGCTGGCTGGCCTTAGGTCTGAGGCCGGCGTCTCTTCCCTCCGTCTATCCGCAGTGTCTGCCTCGCGACGGGGCGTGCGCAGGCGGCGGGAACCTCAGCGCGGATAATCTGCATCTGCACACGCTCACGCAGCCCATCATGGTCACGGTGCCGCGGCTGCCCCCCAGTAAGCTCGCGGGGGTCCCCCTCCCCCAGAGAGGGAAGAGCACAAGTGCCTCCGGAGCCCATTCTCAATGGTGCCCTCCTTACAGGGCCGCCCAAGATCCTCCCCAGCCGGACCGTGCGCCCCGAGCCACCCGCTCCCGCCCCGGTGGCCCTGGAGCCCGCGCCGGTGGTGGCGCTGGTGGTGGCAGCCTTTGTGCTGGGCGCCGCGCTGGCCGCCGGCCTTGGCCTTGTCTGCTCGCACTCAGGTATCGCCTTCTGCCCAGCCTGCCTCCCCCGCGTCCCTAGTCTATCCGCGCCCCCCACCCGTTCCCACGCGCGCAGACCCCCAAAGGTGGCCGGAATCCTCGCCCGCGGGCTCTGACGCCACTTAGATCTGCGGTTGCCACGCAGGCCGCAGCCCCCAGGGGGCGCGCTGACCCTGGCAAGGTGGGCGGCCCCCTCCCCCAGCACAGCCAGCCTCTCCTTCCAGCGCCCCCGCCCCCCAGCCAGCCAGCCACAGTCTCGACCTGCCGCCCCCAGCCCGCCAGGCCCCAGTGAGGCAGGTAAAGGAGATCTGGAGCTAAGAGCTGGAGAAGGGAGGGGGCGGAGGGGGGAGGGACTTATTCTTGCTAGGCACGCTTCCAAAATGTTTTGCCCACATTAATTCTCCTAACAACTACATAGATACTTTATAATCCACATTAGAGACAAGCAAAATGAGACATGCTCTGAGGTTAAGTGATTTGCCAAAAATCTTAATTTGGGGTAGGATTCGAATTCAGGAATTGTGGCGGGCGGAGAGAGGGGGGAGAGGATCACCCGTGGCACAGTGCAGATTCTAGATAGAAAAGTCCCCCCAAGCTGGGCACCATTGGCTTACACCTGTAATCCTAGCTATTTGAGAGGATGAGATCTGAGAATCAGGGTTCAAAGCCAGCTCGGGCAGGAAGGAAAGTCCTTGAGACTCTTATCTCCAATAAACCACTCGAAAACCGGAAGTGGCGCTGTGGCTCAAGCAGTAGAGTGCTCACCTTGAGCTGAAGAGCTGAGGGACAAGCACCCAAGCCCAGAGTTCAAGCCCTGACCCCCTCCCCCCCAAAAAAAAGGCAAGCGAGAGTACCAGCACAAAGTGGGGGGGAGTCCTCAAACACTGGGCAGTAGGAGACAAATTGCTTGTCACCCGACATACCAACTAATGGGACGGAAGAAGCCAATGTCTGCTGGGGAGGGGTTGGCCTCGGTTATGTTCCCACCTCATTAACTCTGCCACCCCTCCCCAGGGATGGCCTGACCCAGCAGAAGACCAGAAATGCAGCCAACTGTGGCTTTAGGACTCTAGATCTTAAAGAGTCAGACCCATGGCCCTGGACATGACCCTCGAGGACCACTACCCCCAACATCTTCCTCCACTCTTCTTCTCCCACCTCAAAATAAACTCCTGTTCTGACTTGCTTACTTCTAGTGGAGTCAAACTGTGGGCAAAGAGCCAGGAGCAGAAAGGCGAGGCTAGGGCAGGTCATTTCTGGGATCAGAATTGAGTGCCCTCCCCCCCCAACACTGGGCTGTGTTTTAGAGGGCTTCTCTATATACAGGGCAGGGCTTCTATGCCCACATGTGCCATGGGAGACTCAAGGGTGTTTTGTTCCAAAGAGATATCTAAATCCTTCTAGTTTTTTGTTTGCTGGTTGTGGGGCTGGAACTCTGGGCCTGGGCGCTGTCCTTCAGCTCTTCAGCTCAAAGCCAGTACTCTACCACTTGAGCCACAACTCCACTCCCATTTTTCTGAGTGGTTTATTGGAGATAAGTCTGTAGACTTCCCTGCCGGGGCTGGCTTTGAACCTTGATCCTCAGATCTTAGCCTCCTGAGTAGCTAGGATTACAGGCATGAGTCATCGGCTACTGGCTCCAGTTTAAGTTTAAAGTAAGTCCCAGCTCCCACCCTGTGACCACTGTAGTCTCCCTCTTCTGGACTCTTCTTAAGAACATTTATTTGGGCTGGATGCTGGTGGTTCAAGCCTACAGTCCTACTTTATCAGGAGGTTGAGATCTGAGGATTGTGGTTCAAAGCCAGCCCAGGCAGAGAAGTTCGTAAGACTGTTTCTAACCCCCAGAAAACCAGAAATGGAGCTGTGGCTCAATGTGGTAGAACACTAGCCTTGAGCAAAAGAGCTCAGGGACAAAGCAGAACCCAGGCCCTGAGTTCAAGCCCTACAACTGACCAAAAAAATAATTAAAAAGTATTCATTTAGTGAGGAATTCCTTAAACCCCTGCTACCCAAGCTCCTCCCCCCTCTTCACATAAACAAGAGTGCTACTAGTAGTCCAAATTTGCAAATGAGGAAACTGAGGTTCACCGAGCTTAAATCACTTGCACAAAGTCCCCAAGCCTGTCTGAACCCATAGACCAGCCTCTTATCGCCTCTTAAGAACAAAAACAAAGCCAGGCGACTGTGGTTCAGGCCTGTAATCCTAGCTACTCTGTAGGTTGAGATCTGAGGATCTTGGTTCGAAGCCAGCCGGGAAGTGGCGCTGTGACTCCAGCGGTAGATCGCTTGCCGTAAACTAAAGAGCTCACGACGGACCAAACAAACAAACAAAAAAACAAAAACAAAATCGAGCTAGGATATTGCTACAAAGCCCAGACTGGCGAGGAAGTCGCGATCCTTCTGCCTTGGCTTCCCAAGTGCTAGGTTACAGGTGTGCACCATCAGGCCCGACAAGCACAATCTTGGCCACGCTTCTGCAAGATGCAACACAGTCTCGGGAGTTCCGAGCAGAGGGAAGGCACGCGAAAACAGGCTCCAGGTTTGCGAGTGAGGGCTATAAAAGACGGGTCGAGCGCCCGTATTCCCGGGTCCCGCCCGGTGCTTGCACCCGCGCGCCCAGTCAGAACAGAGGCGGAGCCCTCCGGTCCGCGAACGCGAGCCCCGCCCCCGCCCGCCTCCGTCTCCGCGCGAAGCTTTCTGGCCTCCGCGGTCCCCGTAGCTCCGCCTTTGACGTGGGGCGCTTAAAGACGGCCGGAGACCGCCGGCTCCCGTCGGAGCAGCATGAAGCCGCCGCAGCGGCGGCGGGCGGCCCCCGCGCGCTATCGGGGAGAGGTCACCGGCCCTACGCCCTGGAACCCTCGCGAGAAGCGGCAGCTGCTGCGACTACTGCAGGCCCGACGGGCCCAGCCGGAGCCCGACGCTGCCGAGCTAGCCCGGGAGCTGCCCAGCCGGACCGAGGCTGAGGTGAGGCGCTGACCCCGGGGTGCAGTGAGCCCGAGAGCGACGCTCCACGGGAGAGGAAGGTGGGGTGCGGGCGGAGCTCAGGGACGGGGCCGCTGGGGGGCGCTACGGGAAGAGGCAGGTCCATCGAGTGTGACCTACCGGAGCGTGAAGCGGACGTGAGTGCCTGCGCCTAGAGGCGGGGCCATCCCAGGAGCAGAACGTGATTGGGTGATCCTGGTGGGCGGGGAGCTGTGGGCGGGCATTGCGTGGGACGTGGGCGGAGCGATCTTTTCTGTAAGGCTTAGGAGTGCGGAAGGCTGGGGGGTGTGGTCGGGAGAAAGTAGGGGCGGGGCGGAGTGAGCTAGGGCCTTGGCGAAAGGCGATTTGGGACGGGGCGGGGAATGAGGATGAAGTGAGAGTCGGGAAGTGGGGTGGAGTGGAACAGAATACGAGAGTTCCGAGCACAGAGACGGGCCCTGGCGGCAGGGAAGAGGTGAAACGGGGGACATCACTTCTTCATTAGGTAGCTGGTCACACTCTGAGGCCCTGGCCCGAGTCCCGGCACTGTCTCGGAGACTTGGACACCAGACTAATACAGACAGGTTAAGGGAACAAGCAAAGTAATGAACATTGGCATGTCTCCTGTATCCTGGGGCTCAAAGAAGGCCCCATTCGAATTCCTCTCCTCCCTCCTTCCCCAGATCCGGGACTTCCTCCAGCACCTTAAAGGCAGAGTGATTCGGGAGACCATCCGCAGGGAGTGTCCACAGGGGCCGAGGCGCCGAGAGGCACAGCCCCCAGCTCCCATAGAGGTGAGGCAAGTTTCCAGAGCTGGCCCCTCGGGGATGTGGGGACTCCAAACGGGATTCCCAAGCAGGGCACTCCTGGGACCTGATCCCTGGGCTGACCACGTGGGTACTGGCTTCACTCAGGTATGGATGGATCTCGCTGAGAAGATCACAGGCCCGCTGGAAGAAGCCCTGACAGCTGCTTTCTCTCAGGTACAGCTACCTCAGGCAGGGGATAGTTCAGAGACGAGCACTTGCCTAACATGCCCAAGGCCCCGTACGCCATCCTAGTCTGGGTCTTGGACCCTTTCTCTTTCCAGTTTAATAATCCCATCGTGGTACTAGACACTTGTTGTCTCAGAGTCCCAGCTCTGAGGCCATCTCTTGTCTGTGCCCCTTTCAGCGTAGCAGGAAGGACTAGGTGAGCCGATGGAGACAGAGGGGCTCAGCTTAGGCACCAAGCTATGGAAGATGAAAGACTTATCCACGTCCTTTCTGGATGATTCTGCTTCTAGGTGCTGACTATCGCAGCTACAGAACCCCTCAGCCTCTTGCACTCCAAACCCCCAAAGCCTACAAAGGCCCGTGGAAAGCTGCTGCTCCTGAACTCCACCAGAGGGCAGGATGACCTTAAACCTAGGGTTCCTGACCCCACCCCTGAGGCCTCTGGTCCCACCCCTGGAGCTCCTGGAACCCCTAGTCCCTCTGCTGAGGCCTCTGGCCCAGATCCTGTGGCTTCCACTGAGGGAGACTTCACTGTGGACTTTGAAAAGATCTACAAGTACCTCTCCTTCTCCTGCCGAAGTGGCCGAAGCCTTGAGCTGTCAGCAGCTGGTGAGAAGAGTGGGAAAGGGTGGGGAGGGTGTGGGGAGGGGTGGGGGAGGGTGGAGAGTAATGGTCCCAGACTCAGCCCTTGCCCTCCTTTTACGGGGATCCTTTTTCCTCCATCACAGAGTCAGCTGTAGTCCTTGACCTTCTCTTATCACTTCCCGAGGAGCTGTCCCGCCTGCCCTGCACAGCCCTGATGCAGCACATGGAGGAAACATATGCTCGGCTGACAGCCCCAGCCTCCCAGCCCAATCCTAGTGATGGTATGACTGGGCCTGGGGTTCATGATGGTGAGACTGGCCTCAGCAGGCCTGACCAAGTCACCTCACAAGTTCCTGAACCCAAAGAACTGAAATCAGCTTGGCAAGCTGCCGGGATCTGCCCCCTGAACCCATTCTTGGTGCCCCTGGAGCTCCTGGGCCAGGTGGCCACCACCCCTGCAAGGTGAGGGACATGGAAGATGGCAGGTAGCCCTGACCTCCCGGTGGCTGGCACTGGGTGATCATGAGGATGGTGTGGAAGGCGGCTGAGATGGGGCTGGGCCCTGAGCCAAGCCTTCACATTCTCCATCCATTGGGGAACTCAAACACAACCTGATTGTACAGGGGTTCCCCGGGGGTAGCCAGGAAGCTGGGTTTCTTGCACAAAGTTGCAGAAACACACACACATACACTGAATTTTGGACAGATGATGCAGTTGGCTTCATTCTCTGTGTCTGGAGGGGGCATAACTGGTACCCACACCATAGTCCCCGACATGCCCTCCTTTGTCTAAGCTTTCCATTCCCAGGACTTAGCCAACTACTACTATTTCACAGACCCCACTACTGGCTCCCCACTCTTCCTGCTGTGTCCTGTGACCTTGAATAAAGCTGTTGTCCACCTGCCTGGCTCTCTCTTTTTTGTTACTTAAAAGGTGGGAGTGGGGAACTGGGCACCAATGACTCACACCTGTATTTCCAGCTTCTCAGGAGGCTGAGATCTATGGATCTGGGTTTGAAGCCAGCCAGGGTACGAAAGTCCATGAGACTCTTATCCCCAATGAACCAGCAAAAAGCCAGAAGTGGAGATGTGGCTTGAGTGGTAGCCTTGAGTGAGAAAGCTAAGGGATATCACCCAGGCCCTGAGTTCAAACCCCAATCCAGGCACCAAAAGAAAAAAAAAAGAAAATACATGGGAGTGGTGACCCAGGAATACCACAGCCTGGGAACTCACAGGATTAGGCAGAAATGCTCGGGAGGAGGGGCAGTCCTGGCCCGGAGTGACCTTGGTCTGACCATGTGGAGGTAGCTTTTTGACAAGTGTGGATGGGAAGAGGGAAGCCAGGCAGGGCTCAGGGGACAGGTGTCAGGAACGGGTTTGTAGAACCAGGCAAAGTCATACAGATGGAAGGTAGAAACTAGCAGACAGCCACCAGATGGAAGAAGCAAGGCCCAGGCTCTAAGGAGGATGAGAGGGGTGTGCTGTTCCAAGCAGCAGGAGGCTAGAGGAAGGGGGGAGGGGGCTCTGTCCCTGTGAGGTGGCCTTGGTGTCTCAACACCCCCTAGAAGTAGAGGGTGGAGGAGGAAGGAGAGCTGGAGGGGTCCAGGGCATTGCATCGGGTGTTAATGGATGGTTCACACCTGTAATCCCAGCTACTCAGGAGGCTGAGATGTGAGGATCACAGTTTAAAGCTAGCTGAGACAGAAAGTCCATGCGAGTCTTATCCCCAATGAACCAGCAAAGAGCCAGAAATGGAGATGGAGGTGTGGTTTAAATGGTAGACCACCAGCCTTCAGCAAACAAAACAAAAAACCCAGGGAGAGCACCCAGAATGGGAATTCAAGCTTCCAAGACCAACACACAAAAAACTGCACTGGAAGTAGAGCTGGGTGGAAAGGAGCTGGAATTCTGGCTGACCCCCTCCTGCAGGGGTGGGGAGGGAGGGGTAGCTCCTGGTAGTGCATGGAGTGGGGTGTGTGTGTGATTCAGGGTCTTGAGGAACTAGGAGCCCTCCCCCAAGCCTAACTAGCTGTCTGAGTGGGTAAAATTTCTGCTCACGGAGCTGTGCCTCCTCATGGCTTTTTATGGAAACGCTAGTTTCTCCCCACACACATTGCACACGGCTCCCCTGGGGCGCACAACACCCCTCCCAGGCAGGCTATGGAACAGAGCCAGCTCACTCGGCGGTCACAGCCCCGCCAGGCTGGGTTCCAAGGGGCTCCTTGCTAGAGGCGGGAGGGATGGGGCTCAGGAATTGGGGGCTGCAGGAATTGTTCTTGGAGGCAACCTGCAGGGCAGTCTAAGGGCAACCCCTCCGGTCACCCCCCCCCCACCTCCTCAGATCAACAGGAAGTGTGTGTGTGTGTGTGTGTGTGTGTGTGTGGTGGGGGTGTCTGCTCTGTGGGGAATGGGTTACCTGGTTATACACCGAAGTTCATCAAACATGTGTGCAGATTGAGAGTCTTCTGCAAAAGCCAGACCTGAGTTCCATTTCTGGCTGAACTGAACCCTACTCCTGGCTAAGGCCAAGTGGCTGCAGCTGCGGGACACTTCCCTAGTGTGTAGAGTGGGGGTACTGACACCCATCTGGCTGGTTCTCACCATCCTGAGGAGCAAACAGGCTAAAACAGGAGGCGCTAACTCAGCACACTGCTTGCCATGCAGTAAGCGCTCAATAACAGCTTTTATTATCTTCGTCGCTCAGAGGCAGGGAGGGGTGAAAACACAAGGGAAGGGGCATGTGGGGTGTGGCACTAAGGGCGGGGAGAGGTGGCAAAAGGGCAGATGGGGGTGTGTGGAGGTGGGCAGGAGAGTCGGGCGCTGACCTGTGCAGGGGCCTGGGTTGGGGTTGGGGGTGGGAGTGAGTCTGACCCACGCTCGCGGTTCCTCTATGGAAAGTGCCATGCATCCAGGACTCCGGCCTACAGGTCTGTCTTCGGGGCGTGGGGATGTGCTGGGCATTACGGGTATGCGGTGTTCACCCGGCAAGGTTGGAGAGAGCCTGTCCCCTGGGCCGGAGCTCAAGGAGGACCCTCAACACTCAATCTTGATGAAGGTAGGGGCAGGAGCGGGATGGGGTGAGGGGATAAGAGGGTCCTCACTCCCATGTGAGGACATTTCTGGCGGGACTCAAGGGACCCACTGGTTGGGTCAAGACGTTGGGAGGAAGGGAGAGGGCAGATAAAAGGCACCAGGTGGGGGCACTGGCCCCGGCCAGGAGGGGGAGATGGGAGGGGCCTTACGGGGAGGGGCTAGACCTGTCCAAACGACCCCTCTCCCATTCCGGGGCTAGGGGCTCTGAGCGGGATCCTGAGCACACTCCAGGCTGGTGGCGTCCCCGCCGGGCCGGCCCTCCTCAGGGTCTCCGGGGAGGGGCTAGGGGTGGGGGGCCGGCCCGGGCCGTGGCGACCCTCACACCAACGCGTAGTCGAACTGCCCACGCTCGAGCGCCTCCTTGTGGTCAGTCCAGGACGAGGCGGGCATGCGGCTGTAGGGGTCGAGCAGGATGCGCACGCAGCGCACCATCAGCAGCACCAGCACCACGAGCAGGCACAGCACGAAGGCGAACACTGTGCGCTGCTCCGCGTCCAGGCCCGCGCCCACCGGGGGCCCCGTCGACGGCGGCAGCGGCTCCGGGGACAGCGTCCACGTCGCGCTCATGGCTCACATCGCCGCGTGCCCTGACCTGATGAGCGGCGGCCCGCCCGGGGCGCGGGGATGAGGCTGCGCCCTCCTGCACCTTAGTGTCGCCCCCTCCACCCCTTTGTGTACTATCACATCCTCCCTTCCCCACCCTCCACGCCAGCCCGCCTGCCTGGCCGGGCCGCCGTCCCAGGGCTACGCCCAAGCCCAGCCCCGGGACTTCACCACCTCCGCCACGCGGGGACCCAACTCCGGCCGCGCGCGCAGGTGGGCGCCGAGCGCAGATGGGGAGCCTGACCGCCCGATCGCCCCGGCTCACGCACAACAGGTGCGAGCGCGCAGCCGGAGACCCGGACGGCGCGGCGGGGACGAGGCCCCGCTCCCTCCGTCCCGCTCGCTCCCTTTGTTCCAGGCAGCCCGGGGACCCCCTCCCCCACCGCCGCCCCTGCCCCCGCCTCGGCGCGCCCCTCACCGTGGCCTCCACCCGGACGGGGACGAGCGGCCCGGCGGCAGCACTCTCTCCCGGGACCCGCGCCGGTTCTTCTCTCGGTCTCTCTCTCCCGTAGCGGTGGCAGCGGCAGCCCCAGCTCAGCCCACCCCACCCGCCCGCCCCTGGAGCGGCGGAGACGAGAGGAGCAGGCGAGTCGCGCGCCAGCCGGGCCGCCGCGGCTGTTCCCATGGAGACAGGGGCGGGGCCGCCACGGGGGCGGGACTAGGGGGCGGAGGCCGTGCGGGGAGCTGCGCTTGGGCCTGAGACCCCGCCCGGTCCACAGGGGGCTTGGGGCTGCGGCTGCTGGGGCCCTCAGCCCGCGAAGACACCCCTGGGTCCAGGAGCTCCACGAGCACCCAGGGTCCCTCTCGGGGCGTGGGCAGCTTCCAGCCCCACCCAAAGGCGCCTCGGACACCCCTGGTCTTGCCTTAGACTCCGCGTAGGGAGTCCTAATGGCCCCCGTATCACTCATGGGTGTTTTAACCGACCTTCAGAACCTTGGGGCCCCCAACCCAGCGAAGACCCCAGTCAGATTCCGAGTGTGTGTTAATTCTCCCTAGTTTATAACGTCACCCCGAAACCAGAGGCCCTGGCCAGGGACCCCTGCGGACTGCAGCTCCTTCACTGACCTTGACGGCCTCCAAAGGCTAGCTGGCCGCTGGGAGCCAAAGCTCTGTCCCAGCCCCACTGTCCAGAGACACACACTTCAGACCACACAGGCAGCTCTTCTGCACTTTGGTGTTTTATTACTTCCAAATCTCAGGCTTATGTACAGGAAGTAAAAGCATTGATAAAAAAAAAAATGGACCTAAAATGGCCTGGCTGGCGTGGCCAGTGGCCACTTGGAGCAGCTGATGGAGCTTCACCACCTGGAGTCCCGGGCTGGCTGAAGGTCTCTTGGCACTATGGCTAGTGTGGCCCTGGTGACCAGCAGCAGCCACTAGCAGCCGTGTGGCAAGGTGGAGAGTGTCTCCCCCCAGGCATCCTCAGCAGCCTGGCTGCCCCTTCGTTGTCCAGCTGGTTTTGCAGCTGCCTTGGCAGAGCCCACAGTCTCGTCCATCCCCAAAGGTCTATAGCTGTGTGGTGCTCCACCATCCGATGATCCAGTCTCACGTGCACTCAGAGGATCTGCTCTGTGCTGGAGGCTGAGATGTCCAGGAGGCGCCAGGCAGCATAGGGGTTGAGCTCATCTTGGTCCCGGCAGAGTGCCCACACATAGAGCATGCGCAGCACCTTGTCCTGTGAAATCAGGCAGGGTGAGCGGCCAGGGCCCAAGAGGAAGGGTTACTGAAGGAGGCCCGGGGGACCAGGAAGGTTTCCTGGTCACAGGCTGGAGGGGCCTCTGACCTCCTCAGGCCACAGGCAGGGTCTTCGGTGAGAGAGGTTGTCCCTACTCCAACCCCCAGCTTTTCCACTCACCGGGTCCCCCTCGACCACCTCGCCTTTGGGGTTCTTGATCACCATCACTAGCTGGGCCTGGAAGGTGATGATCAACACTGGGCCCTGCTCCATCATCTTGCCCATTGCCAGCTGCAGGAGGGGAAGGGAAGAGGGCCTGTAAGCCTCTGACGGGTGCCAGCACCCCCCAGCATACCCCTAGAGGTGAAACCTCAGTGCCTTCCCCCTTGCTGGGCGGCCTGGGCACTTGGTCCTGCTGAGGCCACCTGTGCCCTTCCCCCTAAGCGCTGCATCTTACACGAGGGTAAGCCTACTTCCAGAGGCTGGGGGGTAGGGGGTGAGGAGCTCCTCCACAGACCCAGGTGCTCAGTTGTGAGAACTCAGTGGACTTCTTTCTCTGAACCTGGACTGAAGACTGATCTGTATAAAGATCATGGAGTGAAAGGGGCCAGCTGTGGCCTGCCTATAGCTCTCCACAGGAAGACTGAAGGGGCTCAAGGCACAGCTACCTGTTAGGTGTCCACAGGTCATGACAAGGCCCTTGCCTTTTGGATACAAGGATATCCCCACCCATGGCGTCCACAGCAGCCTGAGGTTTGCACGATGCTCACCTCCTGACCAAGACTGTGTGTTCCTGGGCCTAGGATGGAGCTGTATCTGATAAAACCATTGAAAGTGTCTCTACAATGTGTTCAATAACCCCAACCCAGATGTGTCCAGAACATGTTCACTGGCGTAAAGTTAGGCAAGATTACCTAACACAAATTTAAGATAGCATTTCACTCTGTAGCCCAGGCTGGCTTCTACCTCCCCACCCTTCCCCAGCCTTTCCAGTGCTGGGATTACAGGTTGTACCACCATGCCCAGTTTATTACATAAAATTTTGAATCAAAACTCAACCCAAATGTGTTACATTTGTGTCAATATTAAGTTATATATATATATATATATATATATATATATACACACACACACACATTCACACACATATATATGTTTATATATGTGTGTGAATGTGTGTATATATCTCAAGTCAAATAATTATTAACCTGGGGATGGCCCAAATAACAACCACAGGGCTATATCAGCTCTGCAAGCAAGAAAATATTGCGGCTGAGCCAGGCGCTGGTGGCTCACCCCTATAATCCTAGCTACTCAGGAGGTTAGCTACTCAGGAAGTTAAAATCTGAGGACTGCAGCTCGAAGCCAGTATGGGCAGGAAATTCCATAGACTCTTTTCCAATTAACCACCAGAAAACCAGAAGTGGTGTTGTGCTCTAAGTGGTAGAGCATTAGTCCTGAATGAAAAAAAGCTCAGAAACAGTGCCCAGGCTGAGTTAGCCCCATGATCAACCAAAAAAAAGAATAGAAGATGCTGCTGGAGGAGCACTGGGTGACCAGTGTGCTGGTCCCACCCCAGGGTCACCCAGAGGCACTCACGTCCACATTGTCGATGTCCAGGATGTGGGAGTGGAACTGGAGGCCCATGGCCTTGGCCTGTTGGATCGGGTGGGCCAGCTGGCTGTAGGTCTGCAATGAGAGGCCCAGGTCCCTGTAGATGGCCACTAAGGGCAGGTCCCTGCCCCAACCCTACCAGAGCCGAATCCCACATGGCCCAGCACCCAGTGTGTATACCAACTTGATGCCAGGAGCAGCTGTGCCAGGAGCACAGGTCCAAGTGGGAGGCAGGTGCTGCCCCCGCTGGCCAGCAGCGCAGGCTTGCCTCCCATTATGGAAAGAGCAAGACTCCCAAGTGAAAGCATTAATCAGCCAAGTGGGGAATTCTGAACAGGATCCAGAATACACGCCTGGGGGGAAGGGGTGGAGCTCTTTCACACCCCGCTTCCACCTCATTTGGCTGATGCTTAACACTGGCTGGGATGAAGTGTTTTTTTTTTTTTGGTTTTTTTTTTCTTCTAGGATTTGTCCTAAACCTGTGGGATGCTCGGGAGCAGTCACGCAGCCCAGCCCCGGGTGCAGCCAGTCCTGCTCCGGGATTGCAGAGATGCTCTCCACTGCCGGGATTGCAGAGATGTTCTCCACTGCCAATGGTGTTTGGGTGGGTCTCTTATTAAATTTAGACGCTTTTAAAAACTCCTCAGCAGCTGTGCTTCAGGGGTACCAGCCACTTTCTGACAAAGACATCAGCCCAGGCCTCATGGCAACAAAGTAAAAAAAAAAAAGAAAACAAAACAGCAAAGGAAAAAAACACCCTCATAAATGCCTAAAGCCTGCTGGATTAGTCACCATGCAGGGGAGTATTTAAAAAAGAAAATCTGACAGAATCTTCTCCTCTGCTTTTTGCAAGTTGTTTGTGAGCCGGGTGCAGAATAGAATGAGCCAAAAAAGTCTCTGGATGGCTTCCTAGGAAGAGCGGGGAGGAGAGGAAGACAGCGCCTGAGAGGCCGGTGAGGGAGGCGGCAGGGTGAGTTGAGGTGGCCGGGCAGACAGGAGGCTGCCAGGAGCCGGGCAGGCGCAGACAGTGTGTGCTTCTGGGGACATCGGCAGGCCTCCCTTGCACCATGGATCTGGTGATGGCCCTGGACCCTGAGCCTTGACTCCGGGAAGCTGCTGGGCCCTGTCAGGACACACAGTTCCTCCCCAGGCGGGAAGTCTACCCACACTGTTTTGATCTGGGTTTCGGGATTTTCTGAGAACAGCTAATGGATCTGCTGGGCATGTCTCACTCCTGCCTTCAGTTTGCCCTTGTGACCCCCTCAGGATGGGCCAGAGGATGGGAGGCTGGTAGGGAGAGGGGGAGACTGGCAAAGTGCCCACAATCACTATGCACAGGCAAGACTCAGGGCCAAGGCAACATCGTGCCTTCACTGACCTTTTCCACCCCCTCTCTCCCTCAACCTGTGCACCCCGCAGGTTGCCCTGGAACCCCATCTTACACCATGTCTTGGATAGCCCTTCTGTGACTCGCCTTAACCAAAATCAGGTTAACATGAGGTACGAGGGGAAGGTCTGAGAAAACTGGCACCAAACTGAAAAGGGGTCATTTCACTTTTTTCAAGGTGCTGAGATTTGAACTCAGGGCTCTGTACTTGCTAACCAGGCCATCTACCACAGGAGCCACATCTCAGCCTTTCTTGTTTTAGTTTCTTTTCCAATAGGGTCTCACACTGTTGCCTGAGCTGAGCTGGACCACAGTGCTCCTATTTACACTTCCAACACAGCTGGCTGGCAGGCATGTGGCATGCTGGCAGGGGTTCTGATAGGCTGGAAGCAGCTGTGCCAGTACTGAGGAAGTGACAGGCTGGTCCAGGGCCTAGCCCATCAGAAACTAGGACCCCTCTTTCCACCAGAGACAGGCCTTGTCCTGCTGTCCTGGCTTGGGCAGTGTTGTGGACAGAACCAGCGCCCTATGTTTGCCAGACAAGCGCGCTGTGCTGAGCCGAGCCACACCCCCTAGCACTTCTGTATTTTGCTTTTTTTTTTTCTGGTGAAAGAGATAGGAAAAAGCCAAGACTCACAGCTTCATAGCACCAGTCTTTGAGAATGTCAAGCTCTCCAGAAATCATTGCCTAAAAAGGGAAAGGGAAAAAATAAGCACAAGAAGGCGGGTGGGCTTCTGAGGCAGAACTCTCGAAAGCATTCTCCTTTCCTGGAGACCCCTGGACCCAAGTCTGCAGGTGAGGCTCTATTCAG